TTGTGTTGAGTTTAATATGATTCAACTGGACTCAGAATTGTTTAATGTATTCTTGGAAAAATTTGCATATGGACATAAATATTGACATTTATAAGTAATTAATAGTGATGTGGTGATTCGAGGGAAATGACTGAGTAAATTGAGATAATATGCTCAAATGTACTGGAGATCAAAAACGATATAAAAAGGGATTTGCCGGAGCGTTGAGCATATTATTATCTCATGAGTCAGTTGTCTGAGTGGCCATATAAATTACAAACAAGTAAAATGCTATCTCTTTGTAGATAACAACAACTTGGAAAACAGGAAAGGGTAGAAGCATTATTTGAGAAAAGGGCATACTAATATAATAGGACCAGACTTGTAACGGAACTAACTTTACCCTGCGCTGACGTAATTTCCGATTTTTTTGAAAAATGCTAATCTCTAGCCCAGTGCACTGACTAGCGGCAGCCTGCGTGTGTGTCTCGGCCTGCAGTGTGTTAATTAGCGTCTCTTTCTGCCAGTGTCTTTAATTGATTGATCGGCCGGTGTGTGTGTGGAGTTCTTCGGTCTGCTCTCGCTGCTCACCCAATCCGTCAGGCCGCTGCTCATGCGGACAGCAGCACTACATTACAGCATCGTTAGCTCAGCGATCTCCTGAGCCCCGCTCTCAACACACACCATTACCAAATCCCACAAGCCCACGCTCTCCTTCTCCTATTATATCTGTCTGTCTTTCTCGCAGCTCTCGTTGGACTCTGAGGGGAAGTTAATGGATGCTCTATTCCTGTCCCATATAAAGTTTCAAGTGACACTGTTTGGGATACTTTCAAGAGAAACGGTGAATATTTACGTTCGCGCCACCTCTTCATACTTAATCAGGTCAGATGCCATTTTAAATTTAACGCTACAAGACTCTTTACAACTTAATCTTACAGCTTTCAAAACTGTTTTATGTAGTTTTTGTCTACTGAAAGATTCTTTTTCTGTCAGAAAGACGTTTCGTCAGCTTAACAATGTTAAACAGTACAATCCATCCCTCACGAAAATAAAAAAAATGAAATAAAATAAATAGATAAAAAACATGGTTAATATAGTTAAACTATGGTAACCACAAATTAAACATGGTGTTGCTACACTGACCATAGTTTAACCATGGTAATTGTAGTAAAACTGGCTATACAAATAGTATACACCAAAAAACATGATTACTACACTCTTACTTTAATAAAACCATGGTTAATTTTTGTAAGGGATTGAGCGCATGTGGGCTTCTTCTTAACCTCACAGCCTCGTTTTCATTCCTGTCAAAATTTAAATATGGTGCTACCCTCACTTAAAGGACAATATGTAATTTTTCGCGGCTAGAGGGCGCGTATTCAAAACAAACAAAGAAACAAAGGCGTAGTTTGATGACGGCGTGACTGAGTGTGGAATCATGGGAGTTGTGGTCTTCATCCGCACAGCCGATGCAATCCGACGGGACTCGGGCAGAAATCATGTTCATGTTTGAGCTAATGTATTAATGATTTATTAACGTAGTAGTATGAAGCAGGGTGAGGCAGAAAGCCGTCGAAGCGAAACGAGGCCGCTGAACGAGCGCGACACATGGCTGGAAAGCAGCGGGGCTTTTATTATGCCACAGTTGAGAGCTTCCGCTCCTTCCGGTCATGCGTATGTGGGGTAAAGCAGTGCTGTTTTATCATACTAGATACATTTGAACGTTCTGTTATAATGCTATTCTGTGCGGTCGTCACAGGTCTATTAAAACACACAACATATTAAAGCGTCTTTGGTGTTTCCATGTTTTCTACAAAACAAAACCGGAAATCGAGGGGTTATGACGTCATTGGCAGGCGACACAA